AGAGAGAGAGAGAGAGAGAGAGAGAGAGAGAGAGAGAGAGAGAGAGAGAGAGAGAGAGAGAGAGAGAGAGAGAGAGAGAGAGAGAGAGAGAGAGAGAGAGAGAGAGAGAGAGAGAGAGAGAGAGAGAGAGAGTGTGCGTGCGTGCGTGTGTGTGTGTTTTCTTTTGTTTTTGTTTTTTGCATTGCCTCTTCTGTCAACAACCAATTAGCAACCAAAATAGGGAGATGTGTATATGGCTTTTTGTGACTGATAGATATATATATATATATATATATACAAATAAGTATTTAATACACAGGCTCTCTTGTCAACGACTATTTAATAGACAAAATAGCAAAATGTGTGCATGGAGTTTTGTTTTATATATACGTGTGTGTGTTTGTTTGTTTTTGTCATTGGCTCTTCTGTCAATAACCAATTAACAACAAAAGTAGGGGGATGTGTATATGGATTTGCTGTGTGATATATATATATATATATATATATATATATATATATATATATATATATATATATATATATATATATATATTTGTAGTGTGTGTGTTTGTTTTTTAAATTGGCTCTCCTGACAATTATCAATTACTAACCAAAATGGGGAAATGTGTATACGGTTTTTTTGTGCTATGTATATTTGTTTTTCTTTTTTTTTTTTTTGTTATTTTTGGGGGGTTTTTTTATACTAACTCTCCTGTCAATAACAAATTCAGAATCAAAATGGAGAAATATGTATATGATTTCTTTTTCGTTATTAATATTTCTACTTTGTTTGGAGGCGCATGACAGCTGCGTAAAAATGTTGCCATTTCTAACATGTAATATTTCTAAGTGTACAGGGATGACACTTCGTAGTCTTCCAAGGCTGGCACACATAGGTTTCTCCTGTGCAGTGTCTCAGTGGGGCCAGCAGGGGGCGCTCGGAGCTCACTTTTCCTCTCTCCAGCAGGTGACGTTTTGGTGTTGTTGTTTCAGTTTTCCTAATAAATCTCGTCTTCCAATGAGAAGGAGGTAATTGGTGAGGAAAGGACTTGTTTATTCCGCCATTTATTACTTGACCATGCCGCCGTACCCAGTCCAGGAGAGCCGCGGCCCAGGTTGTCCATGTCAGGGCCGGGTGTAACCCGAGTGTGAGCTGTAATCAGATCTATACGTGGCTGCATGTAGCCCGACCCAAAACATTCTCACTAAGGTTACATTACCAAATCCTAAGTGTGCAAGGCTTTCTCTTTTCCCATTCCATGAACTATTCATATCGGATGAATGTCACATTATTAGTAGCTTAACACTGCTTCCGACGCTGCCAGCGACACCTGAGACTGCGCTCTACAGAGCTGCAACATGTGCTACCCTCCAGGGGGGGGCGCCTCTGACAGGTGCACGGCCTCCCACTCTCCACGACACCAAACCTACTCAGCTCCTTCTTACTTTGACTTCAACACTAAGGATGACCATTAAAGGGGGTGCCCAATCCATTTCCTCAACTGCTGACATTTTTTATTATATACATACACAGTATATATATATACTGTATACACATACATACTGTATATATCCATATACGTACAAATACTAATTGTTATGCCAAACTGGATTCTTTATTTTCACTTGTAGACATGAAGTGCGATATTCATTTACAAGGTATGCCCCCGAAATACTCACCTAGTGACATTTGTGAGATGACAGATGGATAAACAGACAGGCAGAGATTGATAGATAGACAGACAGAAAGATAGTAGACAGACAGACAGAGAGACAGACAGACAGAGAGACAGACAGACAGACAGAGAGATAGAGAGATAGATAGATAGACAGACAGACAGACAGACCGACAGGTAGCAGATAGATAAATAGATAGATAGATAGAAATAGATAGATAGATAGATAGATTACAGACAGATACAGATAGTAGATCGATCGGTAGATCGATAGAATAGTAGAGAAGTAAGTAAATAGATACATACATACAGATAGACAGATACAGATAGATAGCAGACAGAAAGACAAATAGATTGAACTTGATTGTATGGCCAATACAAATTCTCACTTGGTGATTATATATATATATATATATATATATATATATATATAAATAAAACACCTGGAGTCCTTAAGAACTGACTGAAAAACAGTGATGCACTTGGGGGGGGGGGGGGGGTATGGCCAATAAGTGCAATAAATGTTCCCAATAAATATTTGTGAAGTAAGTGTGTGTGTAATTTTTCTTTTTCCAAATTAAGCCGGAGTCGTTGGCTGATTGATTAAAAAACCCACTGATGCGGTATGCCCAATAAATGGTATTTGTTTGACAATTGTTACAATCGGAGAAAAATTATGAACATAATAGTTGAGAATCGCTTCTCTATACAATACATGATTGAACAGAAGCTTGATCTTTGCCTTTGTTTTATTATAGATACCTAGAAACAAGGAACGTAATTGTCACTTGAAAGCCTGCACTTAAAAAATGTATGTATATATATATATATAATGTTGACAGCTGGTTGTTATGGGCAACAACTGCACTTTTCTTGTTTCTTCAATACTGTCATTTTTCCAGTTAAGCAGTGCCCCCAGTTGGTGTGGCTTCTTCAGCCTTGATTTGGTTATACACTACAGCGCTAGGACTGGAAGCAAAGGCCAGCTCACTGGGTCATCCTGATCAATAGGACCCTCGTGGTGTGCCAGGTTGCCCCTTTACAAGGGATTTCCTTGGAATAATCTCAGATCAGGTCATGTCTTATCTCCAAAACAGAGGAAACGCTGAGAATTAAAGTCATGTTGTGCCCTGCCAAACATACCCCCTTTCCTGCTTGTCTAAATCTATAGATTCTCTCTAGGAATAATCAAGTAGGAACTTTTTGGAACAAGTTTAGTAGACTGGAAACAAAATCCCCCTCCTCCTTTCAGAAAAAAGTCCTCTTATAGTTTACATACCAATAATCTAAAACGGATGTTAATATGCATGGAAGCATTTTAATCTTTCCTGATCGAAATTAAATACAGACATCAACGATTTTTAGCAGATTCCCCACATCTCCTCTAATTGAAAATAATAACTAACACACACAATTCTGGACACTGCTCACTCCACGTCCCTTTTCTGGCAAACATTCATAGCAAGAGATTTGTGCTGGATCAGACTTCCATCTATACCTTTAACAACTACCATATTAAAAGGGAGCGTGAAATTGGTTATTAGGGTTACAGATTTAGTCGGACATATAGTAAAAAAAATAGCAGAAAATAAAGCTGTACATTTTTATTAAAAAATAAATAAAATACATAATAATTTATTATGGTATTACTGTTGCTAGCATTAGCTTTTTATTTTCCTAATTTTGTGATTGTATGTGAGGAAGATGCTAGCATTAGTTTTTTTTTTATATATATACTACCATTAGTTTTTGTTTTTCTTAATTTTGTGATTTGTATGGAAGGAAGATGTTGTCATTAGTATTTTATAGATGCTAGCATTAGTTTATTTTTTTGTGACTTGTATGTCAGAAAGAAAAGAAAAAAAAAAAAGAAAGTAAAGAAAAAAGGTAAAAAGTAAAGAAAAGAAAACTGAAACAGTAAAAAAAGAAAAAAAGGAGAGAAAATAAATAAAAAAAAGTATATATTTTTTCCTTAATGTTTGACTCGCATGTAATTTAAGAGAGGTAAAAGATAATATTTAGAAAGGGGTAGTTGCTAAAGTCACAGATTCTGAAAAACAAAAAGGAAATGTAAACATTTTAATTTATATAATTAAAGGAAGTCTTAAACAGTTTCTTATTTCAACATTTTTTATTGAAAGATGTGAGAATTAAAAAAAAAAAAAAAAAAAGAACAGCTAGATACCCGAGTAACCAGCACATTTCAAATCATGTATTCAAAAAAAAATATAGCGCAGTTTGTGATAATTTTTTTTTTTTTATTGAACTGGAGTGAGAACAAAAACCTGAGGTTTATTCCTGCATTTTATAAGCCCCGCTCTGTAGAATAGCACGTCAATGATTTAGTATTCAGCTAAATCTGCACAGACTGGATGCAAGAGATGGCACATGATTGTCCTAAAACAGCAGGGGTGGGGAAAATTAATAAAACACAGTTAAAAAAAACCATATATCTCCTTCAATCACAAAGAGCTAAGATAAGTTTTCATTTACAATATATATCATGTAAATTGGAAAAAAAAAAAAATTAAATGCAATGAATTCTCTAAATATTATGTACACACCATGTACAACTCTGAATAAATTAATACCAATTTGCATATTTTGGGAACCTTATAGCTTATTTACAGAAATTACTAATTTTTTTATAAATATTTCTGGTACATAGGTAGATAGGCACCTAATACTTGTACCAGACTGGTGATTTGGTGAAGGATTCACTCTACCTTTCAGTTCAGCTGTGGATAGCCTGTTCATTTATTGTATTTTATTTGTCTATTTAGTGTTTTTTTTTTGTTGTATATGATTACAATTTTTTTCACTTCAGTCATCTACACAATCAAAGTAGACATACTTCACATATGACTACTGTTTCCAATAGTCGGTTTTAGACAAATACCTCCCAAAACCCCCCCTCCCCTCCCTCTTTCATGAAGAAATCTAAGGAATTCCTTGCTCCCCCCCTTGTCCATCATCAATTTCACCGAGTCTCTGCATTCTTGGGTCATTCCAAGTATTGTGTACAAAAGGGGAGCTTCTCCACAATAGAGCTATTATTAAGAGTTCTTGATGTCCCCATAGGTGCACGGTTGAAGTTGTATCCTTTGTATTGGGTGGATATAGATATATATATATATATTTTATATATTTATACATACTGTATATGATTTCTTCTCAAACCTTCATAATTGGTGGGCTTTCAGTGTGTTATATAAGTACTCATTGTTTTTGATCGCTGACCTTTTTTTTTTTTATTGTTTTATTTAATAAATAATTATAATGTGCTGTACAAAATCCCAGTGCTTTTCAGCCCTTGTGGCTCAGGTGATGGAGAGGAGGCGCCAGTCATTTAGGAGTCTCCCGACCTGGGGAGACCTCTCGTTGGCTCTCCAGACCGCTGACCAGTCTCTGAATGTTCTGAAGCTCGTTTATGGAATCCTTCATGGAGGTCTTTGGGGACAGCGAGCTAGAGTGGGACCTCTTGTGAACAGGAGTGTCTGGGATGGGGCTGGGTTCCCGACTGCTGCCAGGCTTGGAGCCCTCAGATCCTGGGTTGAGGCTTGATGGCAATCCAGTGGTTAAAAGGTTAGTGCTGGGGGGGATGCTCACAGGGATCTGGTATGGGCTGAAACGTAGGCGAGGCCGGGTACTGCTGAGAAATGGATTCCTTGGCATAGTGGTGCTGGCAGCGCTGGTGACTGGCATCGCTGACGCTGCAGCTGCTGCAGCCGCCATGTAGGTGTACGGGTAAGGGAAGAGCCCTCCAAAAGTGGGCATCGGGATCCCCTGCAAGAGACAAGACAGTCTTTAATACTCTGGACACAAACCATCATTTCCTATTTCAGATGGCACTGTAATGGGTTAATGTTATCTAACGATTTACATTAGTGCAGGAAGGTCTTCAGTCTGAAACTTTGTACCTCCATAACATAAAAGATATACCAATCTGACAAAATATATATACCATGTAATATACAGGACATAGCTGAAGCTAGCTGAGCACAGTCAAGTGTAACAGACTGCAAAGAGAAATGGAAGAGAAGAACTCTGTTCTGGCTTACTACTATTATGGCTTACATAAAGAAAAATAATAACAGTAATAAATAAATAATAATAATAATAATAATAATTTAGTATTATTAATACAACAACAATAACAAGAACAACGAAAAATAAAAAAATAATGAATAATAATAATAATAATAATAATAATAATAATAATAATAAAAAATATTTGTTGAAATACTCTACCCAAAGAAATAATATTCTCAAAAAAACTGCCAAAAATAACAGTTGGGCTCAAAATGTAGGTAATTTCAAATCAGCCTTCAATAGAAGATAAACAAACTGATCGATATAGGGCTCTCCTAGTCCTAAATGTAGCCAGGGATAGCACCCAGCTATGTATCTGCAAAATCAACAGTCCCACTGGACTTGCAGAGAAATGGAAGAATCAATAGGACCACCACTGGGATCCACCTCTGAAAAGCTTCATCTCAGGTTCACTCAACTAGAAGGATGAAATGGTTACTCAACTTTTTTTTTCTGCCAAATACTTCATCTGAGCCATATTTCTAGTTTACTGTGAAAGGCCAGTAAAGAGGCAAGACAAGTACATTTCCTACCTTGCTCTGTTGAGACCAAAAAGTTAGAATTGGGGTGCTAATTTCCTTTGCCTTTATAAAAAATTTTTAATGAATTCATCATAAGTAAATGTTCCCATAGATGGAGCTTTCCTGAGACTGTGACCAAAAGGAAAGAATTGGGGTGCTAATTTCCTTTTTCCTTTATGAAAAATATTTTTATGAACTCATCATAAGTAAATGTTCCCATAGATGAAGCTTTCCTGAGACTGACCACAGGGAAAGAATTGGGGTGCTAATTTCCTTTGCCTTTATAAAAAAAATATTTTAACGAATTCATCATAAGTAAATGTTCCCATAGATGGAGCTTTCTTGAGACTGTGACCAAAAGGAAAGAATTGGGGTGCTAATTTCCTTTGCCTTGTTAAAAAAAATATATCAATTAACTAATACTAGAAAGATGGTCAACCAGTCATCATAAGTAATTGTCCCCACAGATGATAGAACGTACCTGAGTGGCCAGCATATGCTGGGATAGGTGAAAGGGGAAGGGAGTAGCTGCCCCAGCCGCTGCTTGCACTGAAGAGAGACCTCCATTCTCCAGGCCACTTGCTCCTGTCATAGAGGCCAACAAATGTCCCATACCCATGGCAGAGAAAGCCCCAGGTGCCATGGTAAATTGTCCTGGGTGGATGAACAAGGGCTGTCCAGCATTCAAGGGGTTAAAGAACTGTTGCCCATGGAGGCCAGACAAGGCTAAACTCTGCAGATGACTTGCACTCAAGTGTGGTGGGCTGTCTGTCTGTACCATGAGTGGGGAAAAGGTCTCTTTACTCAAACCTCCACATTCTTGGTCAGATTTGGTGTCCTCTTTCCTCCTGCTCTCCAGTTTCTCCTTCTCTAAACTCCTGACACTGAATAGGCTGTCGCTGTCCTTGCGACCTTCAGATGACTCGGTCTTCTTGTCAGGTGTGGCTTTCTCCTTGCCCCTGTCCTCCAGTCTAGGGCTGTTAGGGCTAGAGAGAGGTCCTCCAGGACTGCTGTGACCTCTGGCAGTCCTCACTTCGCGTCGATCTAATTCTTGGTCGCTGTCTGCGCTGTATTTCTCATCTAGAACAGAAATGTCAAAGGTTAGCATCTGCACACCGTATATAACACAAGGCTTAGTGGGATTGACCACAGTCCATTCAGCGACAGGTACAAGCCTGAGTCAATCAAGGCTGTTGATGCTTTCACAATGATTTAGAATGGTCAAGGAAAATAAGTCAATCAATACCATGCATATTTTTTTTTGCTTTGCTTCAACCATCCTGGCATTGTGTGTCAACTGTATGAAACATTCTGTTCTAATGTGCTGTGTCACTGTTCATTGTGAGGGATACAAAAACTACATGCATTCTAATTCTCGATTTGATACATAGAAACAGCAGATAATGTAAATGTACTGGTGGCATCTAATCCTGCTAAATGGTGTATAATAAACACCCTTGCTACAAGTTTTAAAGAACTTTCTCTATAGGACAGGGATGGACTTACTTTCCAAACAGGCAGACTAAATTATAAAATGTAGATAGTGTTAACCAGTTCCTGCCCCCTCCCCCCCCCACCAACTTATTAACCTATTTGTGTTCCTAAACATTGTTACTTGTGTGTCACCTGCTCATGTGGAAATAATCATTTCCAGATTCTTATCAGCTAAATATATAATGCATTGAGGACACGAATTGAACCTGTACAGCAAGTAGAAAAAAAATGTGCATTGGACTAAAACGAATCCTAGATTGTAAGCTCTAATGAGCAGGGCCCTCTGTTTCCTCCTGTACTAAATTGTATTGTAACTAATGTCTACCTTCATTTTGTAAAGCGCTACACAAACTGTTGGCGCCAATAAATCATGTATAATAATAATAATAATAATAATAATAATACATGAAAATGAGACTTCAACACACAGGATTAAAAGGAGTTGAAGGACAGAAAAAAAATTGGGGGGGTTTCTACTGGAAACCTTTGTATTGTAAGAATGTATTGTATTGTTTGAATGTATTGTATAGTTTAAAGTAATATAACCCTAATGTGCTTATGTATTGCTACATCAAAATCAAAGTGTACAGACTGCTTCACAACAAAAAGTCCCTTTTGAGTTGCCAGTAAATAAAAGTATTTTATTTTTAACATCACACATTCAATAGCAGAGGCACTCTAGGCTAAATAAATGTGCATATAGTTCAAATATTTTGCATATATTATAAAGAGATTTTATAAATATTCTTACGAGGACATTTAACATCAGAATGCATTTTACATCAATAAAATGTTCACCTAAATTATCCAATAATGCATAAGATAGATGGATGGATGGATCTTTGTTTTGCTTTTAGTTTCCATGCATGATTAGATGTTGCCAATGGCATAGCTACAGAAAATGGTACCCCTTAGTAAATCTACTCTCAATGTGTTTTTTTAAATATACTCCCAATGAGGTTGGTTTACTTAAAATGGAGAGTGCAAAATCTTGTGCAGCTGTGCATAGAAACCAATCAGCTCCCAGTTTTTTTTTTTACCAAAGCCTAATTGAACATGCTGAAGTTAGAAGCCGATTGGCTACCATGCATGCACAGTTGCACCAGATTTTGCACTCTCCAGTTTTTCAGCAGGCCATACATGGGCCAAATTCCAAACAATTTTTTGTTTAAAAATCAAAAACATTGTTCGTTCTGTAATCTGATGGTGCCACCAATGATTTTGAAAATCGGTTTGTTTTTCATGAATTTTTTCAGCATGCCTGATCAATGAAATGGGGAGGTACCATGAAAATCGCCTGGTGCCATTTCCCCACTAACAGAGTGAAAATCGGCCGATTAGTCTTAGGTCCGATTTTCGAACAAAAAAAATTGTTTGAAAAAATCGACCCATTGGTCGGCCTTCGTAAATCAACCCGTGTGTGTGTGCGCGTATATATATATATATATATATATATATATATATATATAATAAATAATATATAACATATATATATATATATACACAAACACACATATACATATACACACACACACACATATACATAACACACACACACAACATAAATAAATATATATATAAATATATATATATATATATATATATACACACACACACACACACACACACACACACACACACACACTATCTATCTATATCTATCATCTATATACATACACATACATACAACACACACACACACACACACATAGATAAATCACAAAAACAACCTTCCCACAAAAAGGCTGATCTACTAAAAGAAAGCATTTTACCATAGTCTGTGCTCCTTTCCAATACTCAATTATTATTGTTATTATTATACAGGATTTATATAGCGCCAACAGTTTGCTCAGCACTTTACAATATAAAGGGAGACAATACAGCAACAATACAGTTCAATACAAGAGGGATAGGAGGGCCTTATGGTGTAATATTTGTTATATTTCCCTGATTCTAGATAATTTAAAGTTATGCCATTATGTAAACCAAATACTGTATCTGCTTACACACATGTAGGGGTTATTGGTATTTAGGATTGGCAAATTGTTATAATTCTCTATAAATGTAAACATGTGTGATCAAACTTGGAAAAAATAAAACATCACAAATCAGGTATAAAACCCCTGAAGAAAGAACAGAGCCTAGGTGTGCCATACTTTGATCCTAGTCCATTGTAGAGAGTTGCAGTTTGTAGGTTTCCTGTAACATAGTGCTGGTCAAAACCCAGCTATAGTCAGACCTGGGAATGTGATTGGAATAATTGCCTTACTTAAAAAATACAGTGATCTAGCAGAATCATGTTTCCATTTCTGGCATTAAAACTATAACATACTGTATGAAATGTTAATGTTTACATCATTCCACTGTGTATTAGGCTGATGCCATCATTCCTATATTGCTGGGGCCTGCTCTGTACTGACTGCAATAAACAATAATAGTAACAACTGAAGGCTTAAGTGCTAGAATAAAAAAACATTATTAATAATTTAATTGATTTTGTGGTGTAATAATGAAACCATATAGTAGACATGGGGAAGGTGCAGGCTTGCGGCTAAGTAGTGTTACTAGTAATCCTATAGAAGAGGTGAATTACCTCTATTACTGCGGCTGAGTCTCAGAGGACTAGGCTCAGTACCCACAAAAAGTGCAATGTGTCCCTGCCTGGGGCAGGATCGCAAGAAGAGGCGTCTGAATCTGCCCCATCCCTGTCTGGCTTGCACTGTTCTTCTTACATCCTCAGGGATGGGAGAGTCAACTGTTTCCTGATAGGAGAAGCAAAAAAGGAGACAAGGCATTAGGCACCCATATACTAAACATTAGACAGACTTAAAGCATATCTGTATCAATGTCCATTTAGAGAAAAAAAATACAGCAAGCCAAAAAAACTACACACTTATTTAAAACAGCACAAAAAACCTCCCAAAAAAAAAATAATAAAACTAGAGAGACATTTGCATGTATGTTTAGAAAAAAAAAACTGCATGCCAATTACATATATATATATATTAATAACACAAACACCTATAGGCATTTGAATGTAACAGTATGCATTTAGAAAAAAAAAAAAAAACACTGCATGTCAACTACATGCTTGTTTATAATAGCACAAAACCTATGTGCATTTGCATGCATCAAACAAATATGTAAAAGGAAAAAAAAAAAAGCATGCCAATTATAATCGCGCACAAAAACCATACTAACCTTTTCTCTCGCCTTCCATTACCCGTATCGCGAAATCCTTTAGCAAAAGGATTGTTGTCAAAAAAAATTGTGTGATCTGTGGCAACAAAAAAAAAAATATATAAGGTACTGAATTAAAACCAAAGCAAAAAAAGCTAATTTTGTATACCAATGTAGCCGTGCAACCATGAACATAACTTGGTCTAAAAAAAAGCACTGAAAGGGTTAAATGTGGTAATTACTCATTTTTTTTTTTATGGTGTATTGTCAAAGTGCAAAAGGACTGTAAAAAAAAAAATGGACTGTAGCCCACAACAGCCAATCAAATCATAGTTGTCAATGGTATTGGTGCCTATTAGTTGCCCTGTAAATACACAAATGCTGCTTGCACTAAAATGCAATGGCTTTTCTGTATTCAATGTATTTTTCTATTTTTTTCTTTATTTTAACCCATTTTCTATGGGGTGAACTAGATTGACTTTTTTGTCTTTGCTCAGTCTAACTATAGAAAAAATGGTTAAAAAGTTGCAGTTTCAGTTATTTCAAAATAAGAAATGAGTCAAAAGCAGACAGTTCTGGTGGCTGTACCTTGGATGCGGCGCTGAGAGGGTTAATATACATTTTGCATTCCAAACATTTTTCTGTAAAAAAAGTGTTCTAGCCTCTAATCCCCACACAGTTCACCAAAAGCAGGGCCGTGCCCTACCTAGTGTAGGTTCCCTTTCAAACAGTTTAAAACACACAGCCAAAAACAAAAACAAACACACCACATGCTTTATTAAAAATGATGCTGAGGTTTGGCTTGAATTATTAATAGAAAAAAAATGATAGCAAGTTTTTTTTTCAGAGCCCCCTGGAGGAAAGATGGCGACTACACATTGCAGCCCTGGTTAAAAGCTATTCTTATCTCTCACATAAGACTGACTTATGGTGCAGGCGACATTAGGGCCATAAATTATTATTCATACTTTTGAAATATGTCCCCCTCAGATGCCATCTTTAAAAATGCATGTCTGATCTCCTTTATGGTATATTTGCTCAAACAAATTGATTTTCTTTTTTGTATTTCCACTAAATCTGTGGAGGCCTGATGTAGCCAGCAAAAAGACAATGGGGTGGGGGAAAAAAAAAAAAGGAGTCAAATTAAAATGTAATAGTTGGTCTAGCTTCTGATGAACAGAATAAAACTGAAATCAACACAATATTCTACTGGATTACAGCTACCTATAAAAAAAGGAATGGTGTGTGGAGGAGGATGTAAAAAAAATAGCTTAAATTAAAAAAAAACAGGTCATATTAACTGGTATATAATAACATATATAAATATATATATATATATATAAATATATATAAATATAACAAACACAAAACAACACACACACACACACACACACACATATATACACACACAACACACATACATAACACTTAATTTTTTTTAAAAAAAAAAAATTTTTAATTATTTCTCAACCAGTAAAAACAACATTCTAAAATTTATTGTACAAGGTTTATGCTAATAGTTTAGAACATGAAGACAAGATGAAGCTGTATTCATATTGTGTATATGCAATAACACATCAGAAAGTAAAAAATTGTAATAGTTTAGTACATAAGGTGAAGCTGTGTTCATACAGTGCATGTGCAATAACACACCAAAAAAAACCTACATTTTTTTAATAGTCTAGTTTAGTACATACAGTGAAAAAAAAAAAAAAAAAATATTGTGCAAAAAATAAACACACACAAAAAAAACCAAAACACAAAAAAACAAATACAGTGCATGTGCAAACATATTTTGTAATAGTTTAGTACATAAGGTATGTATTCATATTGTGCAGGTGCAATAACGCCACCAAAAATTTTTTTTTTTTTACTTGGATGTGATTGGAGTGAAAAGTGAACACAGCTTCACCTTATTTACTAAGTGAGCATTCACTCTGAAATGTGATATGCACTCACTGCAAACAAAGTAATTCCTTTTTATTCCCTGTGAGTGTGTATATATACACACACACACACAAAAATTTTCCCTTTAAAAAAAAAATATATATATATAAAAATATATATATATATGTGTAATGTGTGTGTGTGTGTATGTATATAAAATTTATTTGGGGGGGCTTACCCTCTTTTCAAGACATATATATAGATCTGTATCTATCTGTGGTCATGCTTATATAATGAATGCAAATTGTAATTAAAAAAAGACTAAACAATATAGCTTAAAGGTGGATGCTATGAGTGAAAACTGCACTGTTCTTTTTCTTCAATACTGTTAGTTCCAAAAATGGTGTGTGTGTACACACACTATATATATATATACACACTAATATATATATATACACACACATACATATATGTACAAAACATATACACACACACATTCATATATGTATACACACTATATATTACACACACTCTATAAAAAAAACACACACACACACTAGATATTACACACAACTATATATTATGCACACACACACTATATATATACATACACACACACACACACACACACACACACACACACACTATATATTTATATATATAAATAAATATAAAACATATATACAAAAACACACACACACACACACACTATATATAAAATATATATATACACATAAAAATACACACACACACACACACACACACATATTTACCCCCCCCATAAATATATTATACAAAACACCCAAATTACACACACACATACACACACACACAAAACAAAAAATATAAAAAATATACAAATATATATACCAATACACACACACTATATACACAACACACACAAAATATATAAAAAAAACACACACTATATAATATATATATATAAATATATATATATATATACAAACACACACACACACACACACACACACACATACATATATATTATATAACACACACACACACACACACAAAACACACACACAAAAAAATAATACAACAAAAATTATATATACACACACACACACACAAACATAATATAATACACACACACACACACACACACACAATAACACACACACACAATATATACACTAATATTATACACACACACACACACACACCACACAACAAACACACATATATAACACACAAAATAACACACACAACACACACAAACAAAACAAAAACACACAACACACACAAAACACAAAACACAAACACACAACACACAAAAACAAACACACACTATACCCCACACACACACTAAACACACACACACTATATATATACACACACACACACACCAACATATATTATACACACACACACACAAATATATACACACACACACACACACATATATATATACAACACACACACTATATATACACACACACACACACATATATATATACACACACACACACATATATAATAACACCAACACACACTATATACAAAAACACACAACTATATACACACACACACACATATATAACACACACACACACACATATATAAAACACACACTATATATTATACACACACACACTATATATATACACACACACTATATATATATACACACACACACACAAAAACACACACAAAAAACACACACACACAACACACACACACACACATATATATATATTATACACACACTATATATTATACACACACACACATTACACATTATATATTATACACACACTATATTATACACACACATATATATATATTACACACACACACTATATTACACACACACACTATATATTATACACACACACACACACACACACATTATATATTATACACACACTATATTATACACACACATTATATATTATACACACACTATATTATACACACACTATATTCTACACACACTATATATTCTACATCTCTCTGTTTAGAGCCCCTCATGTGCCAAGCTGAGAATGTGAGCCTGTTGTGAGTAGGGGATGAGCACAAGATGGGTTAAAGGAACTGAGTCAGCAGTGGGATTTGAATAAGCAGTCCAGACTGCTGGAAGATGCAGAGCACAGGCGATCAGCTTTGTCCAGCTTGGAGCTCCAAGCTAAAGTGCTCTTTAATCGATCGTGACTCTGCGCCATAAAGTTTTTTACGATGGGAACAAGCCCACCAGGACCCTCCGACAGATCTGTCAATTAGGCGGAGCAGCAAGGGGTGAAGGTGTGCCCGGGCTTTGGTGGACGCGCTAGATGGTGTGTACATGTGTGTATGCGTGTGGCTGCTGATCAGCCTTTTCATTCAACGTTCAGCCATAAGAACATAACACGGGAAGCCAAACTAAACAATTCAGGCTAATTACACATGCACAGGATCGGCCTTATGCTACAACTGAGAGGAGGACATGGATTAGGATGCCTGAAATTACAGCAAACCAACACACGAAGCGTGAAAGCCACATAAAACATAACCACAACGTATTAATTAGGCCAATAATCCCCTTCCAACATACCATAAAACGTGTGCTTTATGAATTCACAATAAAGGCATGTTAACAAAATCCCACTGACTCAGGGTTCACATATAGAACTTTAATGCTGACACATAAATTTGAATTGAAAGAAAAAGCAAGGCTTGTAATGGTGGTGTGCTAGATGGTGCTCGGTGCACAGCCATGTACATCAGTGTCTCCTCTTACCTTATCATTCTGATAAGCAGTCACTGCAATGAAATCAGTCTCTGGGAACACATAGGTCCTGAAAGTGCTATAGGGGAGCTTCAGAATGTCATTGGCTCTCACAATATGAAACCTGGGCTGGTATTTATGCATCGAGTTTAAGATGGTCTGCAAGAAAAACAGCACAGAACATTAAGATTACCTGTCCTGTTTTAACTTAAGCTATCCATACATTATACAATTTTCTTATTCTATTTGCTTTGGATTTACCTTCCACTATGTAGTGCAAAGACCTGCCTGATTGCATACAAATCGAAAGTATTTTAGGTGTGACCTCATATGGTTTTGGTACATCTAAAAGGAAAATTGTATAAAAAAAAAAAAAAAAAAAAAAGGTATAGCCAGCCTTTGATTGACCATACATTCTATATACATTTCTTGTACAATTTCCTTGTCTAGGTAAGGCTGGCCATACATTATACAATTTTCTTGTTCAATTGCCTTTAGATTTACCTTCACCTATGTAGTGCAAGGGATTAACTGATTGCATACAAATTGAAAGTGATATGACTTCATATAATATGGGTTTGGTAAATCTAAAGGAAAATTGTTATAGGTATAGCCAGTCTTTGACTGACCATACATTGTATCAGAAAACTGTAATCTCCTTGTCTAGGTAAGGCTGCTCATACATTATGCAATTTTTTCTTCTTCAATTTCCTTTAGATTTACCTTCAAGTATGTAGTGCAAGGGACTGCCTGATTGTATACAAATTGAAAGGGATATGACCTTATATTATATGGGTTTGGTAAATCGTTATAGGTATAGCCAGTCTTTGACCATACATTGTATCAAAAAACTGTTATTTACTTGTCTAGGTAAGGCTGGCCATACATTATGCAATTTTCTTGTTCAATTCCTTTAGACTTAACTTCAACTATGTAGAGCAAGGGACTGCCTAATTGTACACAAAATGAAATAATATGATCTCATATTGTATGGTTTTGGTATATCTAAAGAAAATTTGTAAAAAAAAAAAATGTATAAGGTATAGCCAGCCTTTCACGCACCATACATTGTACAGAAATTTTACAAGAAAATTGTATAATCTCCTTGTCAAGGTAAGGCTGCCCATACATTATACAATTTTCTTGTTTGTTTTCCTTTAGATTTACCTTCAACTATCTAGTGCAAGGGACTGCCTGATTTTATACAAATTGAAAGTAATATGAACTCATATTATATGGGTTTGGTAAATCTAAAGGAAATTTGTACAAAAAAAAAAATTGTAGAAGGTATAATCAACCTTTGACATACCAGACATTGTACAAAAAAAAAATGTATAATCTCCTTGTCTAGGTAAGGCTGCCCATACATTATGCAATTTTCTCGTTCAATTTCCTTTAGAGTTACCTTCAACTATGTAATGCAAGGGACTGCCTGATTGTATACAAATTGAAAGCAATATAACCTCATATTATAGGGTTTTGGTAAATCTAAAGGAAATTTTGTACATAAAAAAATGTATGAGGTACAGCTAGCCTTTGATTTACCATACATTGTACAGAAATTGTACAAAACAAATGTATAATATCCTTGTCTAGATAAGACTGCCCATACATTATACAATTTTCTTGTTCAATTTCCTTTAGATTTACCTTCAACTATGTAGTGCAAGAGCCAGCCTGATTGGCTGCTAATCATATTATATATGATTTTTGGTAAATCTAAAAGTTAGACTGTACAATAATATATATTGTATGGTGAGTACCTGTCCTGCCCCCCTATACTTAGCCTATCACAGTCCTTTACAAATTAAACACCATGTTTAGATTATAGAATATTATTGTACAGTCTGTCTTTTATATTTACCAAAAATCATATAATATTTGTTAATCTAAACATGGTGTTTAATTTGTAAAGGTTTGTGATAGGCTAATCATAGGGGGGCAGGACAGGTACTCTCCATACATTATAGAATATTATTGTACAATCTAACTTTTAGATTACAAAAAAAAATCATATAATAGTTGCTAATATATGGTGAGTACCTGTCCTGCCCCCCTATAATTAGCCTATCACAAACTTTTACAAATTAAACACCATGTTTATATTAAAAAAAATATTATATGATTTTTGGTAAATCTAAAAGACAGACTGTACAATAATATTATATAATCTAAACATGGTGTTTAATTTGTAAAGGTTTGTGATAGGCTAATTATAGGGGGGCAGGACAGGTACTCACCACACATTATAGAATATTATTGTACAGTCTTCCTTTTAGATTTACCAAAAATCATAAAATATTTGCTAATGTATGGTGAGTACCTGTCCTGCCCCCCTATAATTAGCCTATCACAAACCTTTACAAATTAAACACCATGTTTAGATTATATAATATTATTGTACAGTCTGTCTTTTAGATTTACCAAAAATCATATAATATTTGTTAATATAAACATGGTGTTTAATTTGTAAAGGTTTGTGATAGGCTAATTATAGGGGGGCAGGACAGGTACTTACCATACATTAGCAAATATTATATGATTTTTGGTAAATCTAAACGTTAGATTGTACAATAATATTCTATAATGTATGGTGAGTACCTGTCTTGCCCCCCTATCATTAGCCTATCACAGTCCTTTACAAATTAAACAGCATGTTTAGATTAGCAACACACTTGGGGAGATTTACTAAACTCAGTGCAGAATCTGGTGCAGCTCTGCATAGAAACCAATCAGCTTCTAGGTTTTATTGTCAAAGCTAAATTGCTGGATCTGTCGCCAGAAGCTGATTGGCTACCATGCACAACTGCACCAGAATTTGCATTGTCCAATTTTATTAATTATATACCGGATCCAACAAGGCTTATCAAATTCAAAATACATAAGGCTCAATTTAAGAAGCACAGCGAGATACAGATTCCTTATTAAAAAAAAAATGTGAATTTTAGCTGATTAAAATGAGCTTTAAAAATGAGTCACAAGGCTGCTAATAAAGATCGTTGTGATACAGTGGTGAATTAAGCCTGTTGTACGTGAAATACTAGAAGCTGTGCTGAAATATATCGATCGACTATAACCTGAACTTTTATATATTATCCTATTAATAATATATCATGGGCCCAGATGACATTTGCTTTACAATTCAGTGTAATGCACAAATTCATTGCCGGATTGAAGTGATTGTGTGGAATAGACCTCCAAATTGTCATTAATACCAATCGATATGATTATGGTTCAATCGATGCAAATGCAGGGCAGCATAACATACTGCTATCCAGATGCAGACTCCATTGGCATGGCCCTGAGAATTAAATGGCAGCCCTGTCAAACATACAGGAGCTGCCCCCTATTACTGCTCACTCATGAAGGCCTTTAATGACAGGCTGCCTCTTTCTAAAATAAAAAAACCATTAATGTTTCCCATTCAATGGAGGAGCACAGTGCCTATAGTGTGCACATTCTGACATATACCTGAACTTGTACCGAAACATGTAGCAACACTTTTGACATGTGTGGAATGACTCTACAAACACCTTGAAGAACGACCAGTTCGGTAAGGGGGTTTAAAGTTTACTAATCCACACTGATGCCATCGCTGATGCTTAGAATGCAGGCGAAATCTTCAACATGTCATTAGGGAAATGTATACAGGCTTATGGCTGATGAATGGAGCTGCAACTGATCCTTTTGCTAATGTTTAAAGGGGATCAGATAAAAAAAAAAAAAAATGACTCTGCATCGCACAAATATTAGCATTGTAAAATGTCAATGGAGATTTGAATGCAGAGAGGATGGAGGGCACATGATATTGCACAGGAAACAAAGGGGTTAATGATAACAATATACAAGGTAATGTATGGAGAAAGGAGGAGGAGGTCACAGAGTTCAGTATGAAAAGGGATGGAAGGATGATCGTGTCCTGCCAGAAATTTTGACACAAGCAGGAAGCACAGTCTGCTGGGGAAATTAAAAGGGGGTGTCCTTGTGATAAGCCTGCTGGGCTGGTGAAGACAGAACTGGCTGTGTTCCATCAGTCCCTGGACACATCAAACAAGGTGGCAACATTTTTGTGGGTGGGTGAGACTACCATTTTTTTTTGGGGGGGGGGGTTAAGACTAAAGTCTGGCTTGTTATTATTTTAGATTTCTTTTTGTACATCTTTTAAAACTCAACACATCTTAAGAGAAAATCTGGCTTAATTATGCTATTATGTAGGGCAGAAGTGGTCAAGAAAATATTTTTTTAGGGTGCCTATAACTACAAAGCACACAATCTGATTTTTTCTTTTGCCTGTAGCAGTTATTAAAGCCCCCCTATAAATCGACAATATCCCACATAAAGGTAACCCTTTTTTTTTGTATACACATAGCACTTAGGTGATAAGCCTCATGTACCCGACTGCACTAATAACAGCCTGCCCAACTGACTGACTGTCACATAAAGTCAGCCAATCCTGTTAATTACCATATCAAGAACAACTAATGGGCAACTTTCCTTTTTATCTCCTTAAATGCTTGTCAAAAGGCAGAGACAGTGATTGTGCTTAATGTGGGCAGACAAACAAATATTCAGCCCAGAGATGCAGGAAGCCTCTAATTTGTCTGGAAGGAGGGGAACCCAGAGAACACTGAAAAAAATAGGATTTTTTTTTTTAATTACACAAAATGAAGTGTATATGAAATATTCCATTTTTGGGAAAGTTCACTATCTTGCTCTTTATAAATGTCACTTTCCTATCACCCTTATTACAGCTGTTTATATTGACATGTTAGCTCTGTGGTTCATTTTATGATTGTTATTGTAAAATGACAATACATTTTCTGATTATTTAACCCTGTCTGTGTTTACTGATTGGATCCTCTTGTACCAAATTGTATTGTAACAGTAATGTCTACTTTAATTTTGTAAAGCGCTACGCAAACTGTTGGCGCTATATAAATCCTGTATAATAATAATAATATTATTAATAAAAATAATAATAATAATTAATACCAAATCAGCTCCTATGTTTTATTGTGCACCTGTCTTTTTTTTTATTAATTCCTAGCTTATAAGATTTATAAAACATCAATATTATTATTATTATTCAAGATTTATATAGCGCCAACAGTTTACTCAGCGCTTTACAATATAAAATATTCCCAGTTTTAAAGAGGAGTCTGAAAGCCCCCCATTACACTGCACTTTATTTAGACATGCCTCAGATCTGTTCAGTCTTCCACATTTATCTATTTACTAAAAAAAAAAAAAAAGAAGAAAAGTGACCCCCCTAAATTAGCTACTTCATCAGTTTTCAACAAAAGCTGCAGGGCATCCTATTATCAATGACAGGACAAATAGAAAGATAATAATTAAAAAGTAATAATAATAATAATGTAAATATTCAGCTTACAAAGGTTAAAACGTGAAGCAAGTGTCTTCTTTCATCTCATTCATAAGAACTGCCACACAACTAAAACAAACTTGTATTTTGTAGGCAGACACAAAGCAGACCTGGCTACAAAGAGCCTTAAAGGGGGCTTAGTTTATTGCATAACAAGCAATACATTAATCAGCTTCTTGCCTAGACATGCATTTACTATGTCATATTTGCACAAATGATGTTAAATGCCAGTATGGCGTCAATAGAAAATAACAAAGAAAATGAGGCTCAATAATAATTGGCAGCAATAATAAATACTACTAAAAAAATGAAGTCATTATGTCAAGTTATAACAAAACGACATTACATTTAGGAATGAAGCTAAAGAAAATATATGCAGCCACACTGGTCAGTTTCTATGGTAGTGTATATTTATATGTGTATTGTAATTTAGCATTACCATCAGTAAAATGGAAGGAAGCCATCAATGCAGTGATAATTGTAAACGATACAGCACACACACCAAATTGAATCATGGTGGGAATAAAAAGCAAGCCAGGATCTCTTGTGTGGGTATTTTTATTGAATCCCCCCCTGAGCCCAAGGGGTCATTCTATATATATTGTACACCATCCTACTAGTTTGGCATCATGGGAAGGGTTCTGCTATAGGTGTCCGTTTGTGAACCAGAGAATAGCTGCGATTCAACGGATCTCAGCTATTCTCTGGTCATTCACAGTTTATAACACTCAGGAGATCCTGTCAGCCCTTCTCTGGAGATCTGTGTTCTCCGTCCAGATTCTCCAGCCCAGAGCTGGAGAATCAGAGGGACCGCAAACTAAGCAGAGATAATTTACCTCTGCTTAGTAAACTGGATTTTACTATAATCTGGAGAGATTATAGTAAAATGAGCCGTTTTTTTTCACAGTTTGTAGACCGTTATCCAGCGTTTGGAAACCGTTCTCCCTTCGTTCGGAGAACTGCTTCATAAACTGCATTCACAGGAGAACTTTGTTCTCCGAGAATGCCGGAGAACTGAGCAGCGATCTATTACCTCTGGTTCACAAACGGACACCATAGTCATTACCAGCCTTCTCCTGCCTGGGATTTCATAGAAAACAAGGAAAGCAGAAGGTAAAAGATACTTACAAAACCATGTTTGTCGGAGATATTGTTGGTGAGCTTGAGCTTGTGAAAAGCAACAGGTTTGGCCATCCATTGCTCCCCAGTGGCCGGGCTGTCAGGGTGGATGTACATACGCTTGGGCATCTCTGGGTCAGCCTTGCCAGCCACCATCCAGCGAGAATTATGGAATTTATACCGACAGTCATCGGCTGCCACTATATCCATTAATAAAATATATTTGGCCTTCTTATCCAAGCCACTCACTCTGACTTTAAACGGAGGGAACATTCTCCTGGAATAAAAAAAAGGGGGATATGTCTATTCAAACTAAGGAAAATGATAAGCTATTCAGCAACTTGACATGTTTACAAACATAGAGATCATTAAAAGTACAAGGATTACAAAATATGATGATCACTGCTATTATTATTGGAATTCATACATTCTGGGCCTACCCATTCTATAGCATAGTCTATACAGCCGGTAGAATAATCCCCATTAATAGACAGCGAGATCTTCTCTTCCTGCTGACTATTACATGTGATAGCTGCTAGAGATATTGCTTTTATCTGGTCACCATTGTGGCTAAACGGAAATCCAGACCATTTAGCAGACTATCATTGATGTGTACAGAATACTAATACTCAACATGGGAATATTTGGCCATTTACTGATCCAAGCCAAAACAGGTTTCAGAAGTTCTGTTTACAGCATTTTTATTATTTACCACTAATTCCATGCTAGTGCATTTACACCTGAAAGTATATTTAAAAATAAATCTTTGTCTAAATGACCAGACCTATAGAAAAAAGCGAAAGCTATGTATACAATTCCTGATGAACTAGATGTGCTCTCTCCTTTTGCTGCATTATTTTATATGTATGTATGTCCATGCAAGGCAGACAGCCCTAAATAAAGATCTATAATATGGAAACCTACAAGGCATACCTGCCTATCTATTCCCTAGATATTAGGACTCCAAATAGAAGCAAACATTGATCAGCCCAGTTGTGTGCGCTGTATCTTTGTATCTCTCGAATTGTTACAATGTAAAAACAATGTTTGTCATGATAACCGAAGGCTGGAATGTAACATTATAATCCCAATTGATTTGATAAAAAGGTTAACACTTTGTAAGTGTTGGATATATATATATATATATATATATATATATATATATATATATATATATATATATATATATACACACACACACCTATATACACACGCATCTTTTTGTGTGGTACACTAATTTTTTTTTTATACTAGGAAGGAACCATTGATAAAGTTATCAGGTCTCATAGAACCCTTAGGAATTTTTAAAATCTATTTAGAACCTATAGTACATTAGCATTATCAGGTGTCATGGAACCCCCTAGTCATATTTAAATATCTAAAACTCATAGTGCAATAGCATTATCAGTCCTCAGAGATCCCTGGTAATTGTTTATATATACAATATCACATTAGCCTTATCAAGTCTAGGAGAAACCCTAGTTTTTGTTTCTTTTTTTCTAATATCTACAACTCATACTGCATTAACATTATTAGATCTTAAGAAGCCCTAGTATTGTTTTTTTTTTCATCTACAGCTTTTTAGTGTGCATTAGTATTATTAGTATTATCACATCTCAGAGAACCCCCAATATATTTTTATACATCTGCAACTCAGACCATTAATATTGGTAGGTCTCAGAGAACCCCTGGTATTTTTTTATGTAAGATCTACAACTTATAGTACATTAGCATTACTAGGTCTTTGTAGAACCCCTAGTATTTTTTTTTCATTTTTGTATCTATAACTCATGGTGCAATATCATCAGGTCTGAGCGAAATTACAGACATTATATATACACACACACACACACACACACACACACACAACAACACACAACAAAAACAAAAATACATAAATACAAACACACACACACATACATAAATACATATATATACACACACATACATAAATATATATATATACACACACATATATAAAATATATATATATATATATATATACACACACACACACATATGCACACACACACACTATAATAGATTAGTATTATCAGGCCTCGTTGAACCCCTTGTATTTTATATCTATAACTCATGGTGCATTAACATCAGACTTCAAAGAACTTCTGGTAATTGTTTATATATACAACTCCTAGTACCTTAGCATTATCAGATCCAAGGGAACCCCTAGTATTTTTTTTATATATCTATAACTCATGATGCATTAGGTGCATGGAGCTTTATACAACTGCTGGTAATTGTTTATATATTCAACTCCTAGTACCTTAGCATTGTCAGGTCTAAGAGAGCTTGTAGTATTTTTTGTATCTATAACTCCTTGCATTATCAGGTTCGAGAGAACCCTTAGTATTTTTTTATATCTAAAACTCCTAGTACTGTAGCATTATCAGATCTCAGAAGTCTTCTAGTATTTTTTTTTTCTCTCTCTCTTTTTTTTATCTTTTAACCTGCGAATACCACAGCATTATCGGGTCCAAGAAAACCCTTGGCATTTCTCTGTATAAATCTACAACGTATAGGTCCTAGAAATTCCCTTGCATATTTTTTATATCCAAAACTTTAAGTACCATAGCATTAGCAGGTCCCAGAAATCCCCTTGTATATATATTTTTTTATATCTACAACGTTTAGTACCATAGGTCCCAGAAAACCCCTGGTATTTTTTTTTTATACCTACAACTGTTAGTACATTAGCATTATCAGGTACAAAACCTCTAGTATTTTTTTTTATACCTATAACGTTTAGTACATTTGTATTATCAGGTCCCAGAAAACCTCTAGTATTTTTTAGATCTAAAACGTTTAGTATCTTAGCATTACCAAGTCCCAGAAAAACTTCTAGTATTTTTTTTTTTTTTTATATCTACAACTTTTATTATCTCAGCATTACCAGGACCCAGAAAACCTCTAGAATTTTCTTATATCTACTACTTTTAGTGCCTCAGCATTAGCAGGTCCCAGACAACCTCTGGTGTTCTTTTATATCTCATCTTTTAGTACCTCAGCATTAGCAGGTCCCAGACAACCTCTGGTGTTCTTTTATATCTACATCGTTTAGTGCCTCAGCATTATCAGGTCCCAGAAAACCTCTAGTATTTTATATCTACATCTTTTAGTACCTCAGCAATACCAGGTCCCAAAAAACCTCTAGTATTTTATAATTACATCTTTTAGTACCTCAGCATTATCAAGTCCCAGAAAACTTCTAGTATTTTATATCTACATCTTTTAGTACCTCAGCAATACCAGGTCCCAGAAAACTTCTAGTATTTTATATCTACATCTTTTAGTACCTCAGCAATACCAGGTCCCAGAAAACTTCTAGTATTTTATATCTACATCTTTTAGTACCTCAGCATTATCAGGTCCCAGAAAACGTCTAGTATTTTATGTCTACATCTTTTAGTACCTTAGCATTACCAGGTCCCAGAAAACTTCTAGTATTTATTTTTTTTATATCTACAACTTTTAGTAACTCAGCATTAAAAGGTCCCAGAAAACCTCTAGTATTTTACATCTACAACTTGTAGAACCTCAGCATTACCAGGTCCCAGAAAACGTCTAGTATTTTATGTCTACATCTTTTAGTACCTTAGCATTATCAGGTCCCAGAAAACTTCTATTTTTTTTTTATTTCTACAACTTTTAGAACATCAGCATTACCAGGTCCCAGAAAAAACCTCTGGTGTTTTTTAGATCTACAACTTTTAGTAGCTTAGCAATATCAGGTCCCAGAAAACCTCTGTTTTTTTTTTATTCCTACAACTTTTAGTACATTAGAATGAGTCTACAGTGAAGAGTGTGGACGATTCTCAGACCGCGGCAGTTGTAGTTGTGTCTCCTTACATTGGTGTAGCTTGGGCAAATCTACTCATGAGGAACCTCTGGAGGATCCCAATCTGAGAAGGTCTCCTGGTCTATGTAGCCCACCCCATCATAACCTCTAGTGTCTATTTGGTGTCCAGCAGCCCTTTTTTTACCTTCCAGACTTGGTGATGACCATCTCGGTGCCCAGTTTGTGGAACTGATCCCACAGCTCCTTGGCTTCCAGGGTGACTTTGGGGTCGTCCTCCACCTCCTCGTCGGGCTCCAGGCTCTTGAGGGACCTGAGATGAGCGGCTTGGTGGTGGTGTCCCAGAGCCGAGACATGCAGGCCAGCTTCGGCGGCTCCGGCCAGGCTGGGATCGGTGAGGGGTTTACCCAGAGCAGCCGGGGGCAGAGCCAGAGCCGGGAAGAAGGAGGGCTGTGTGGCCGCTAGGAAGGCGGACATGGGGAAATCGGCTGGTCTGGGAGCGTGGAAAGGGTGGTAAGCCATGGCAGTCCCCGGGAAAGCTGGATCTCTCATCGGTGCATCCAAATATCCAGACGAGCTTCTCAGCGATCTAGCGGCGAGCCAAGTCCGTGTAAAAGGTGCCAGTCCCCGTGTGTGGAAAAAGTTCCAGTCCCTGTCCGGGCTGCGCCCTATTGGAGGAGTCGGGGGGAAGAAGTGTCAGGCCGGCCGCCGCTCATAGCGCACGCTTAGATCTTGTCGGGATCTCTGGAAAACTGTGACTATCTCACATGTCCTTCCTGCTCTGATCCCCTCGCTAATGAGCCAAGCCCCCTTGATTGCTGATTTTACGCTTTTTGGACCAATTGTGGATCTCCATAGGCGTGGTTTTGACAGCTGAGGCCAAGATGTGGATGAGAGAGAGAGAAGAGGAGGGGGGGAGAAAGAAAAGGAAGGTGTCGGAAGCATCAGCAGTAAGAAAACATGTCAACAGAATCAAATATTAACCAATGACAGGAGGAAAGGACGACCAATCCCCTCCCCCTGGAAGAGCTCCGGACACACCACACCGGACCCAACACACATTGCCTTGCCGGCTGGGTCAGCTCCTCTAAGAGAGGGGGGAAAAGGGGGGGCGGAGGAGGGGAAGGGGGAGTCCTGGCCAAGTCCCTACCAGACCAAATCTAGAAATCCATGGAGGGTACGATCCAAACCACACTACTTAACAACTTAGAGGAACACTCATGGCCAAGGCCTCTAAAGTCCTATATATATATCTATTATAGATTTTTATATATACATATATATTACAGATTTACAGGCCTTGGACATGAGCGTTCCTCTAAGTTGCTAAATAGTGTGGTTTGCATCCATGGATTTCTAGATATAGCAAGATATACAGTATATATAGCTATATCTAGAAATCCATGGATCCAATCCACACTACTTAGCAGATATTGCTTCATAGATAGATATGAATACATATTTTTTATATATATATATATATATATATATATATATATATAAATATTATACATATTAAATATTTTTATATATATATATGAAATTTATACATATTTATATATATATATATATATTATATATATATATATATATATATATATTATTTTTGTTTTTATATATATTTATTAATTATATATATATAATTATTTTTATGTATATTCATACATCATTTTTTATCTGTCTGTCTATTATATAATTCTCTCTCTCTCTCTCTCTCTCTCTCTCTCTATATATATATATATATATAAAGTTATATATATATATCTATATATATATGTATGTATATATAATTTCTCTCTAATATTTCAAAATAAATACATTATATATATATATATATATATATATATATATATATGTATGTATACATATATATATAGATAGATAGATAGATAGATAGATAGATAGATAGATATACACATATTTCTCTCTCCCTCTTTCTATATATATATATATATATATAATATATATATATATATATATTCTCTCTAATAATAATATTTTAACAAGATATTATATAAAATATATTATATTAAAAAAATATAAATATATATATATATATATATATATATATATATATATAATGTCTCTCTCTCTCATACTCAGACACAACACACAACACACACAACATATACACACACACACACACACACACACGCTGTATACATATTATAATGTACATGCTGCAGCTCCTCCACCACAGACACATGGCAATGGGTGAACAAAAGCCTGTCCAGGGCTCCTGGGAGAGGGACTAGAAAAGTGGGACTTTTAGGATCAGCATGCATGTAAAATGGATAGAGGTGGGGCCCACCGGCCACTAAGTGCTTGTAGGAAAAAAAATAGTCAGCTGACTGGCACATAACTGGAAGAAATCTGAAGCCACAGGACTGTCTGCTTAGTGTGATTGTTGTTTGATTTTTTTTTTTTTTTGGGGGGGGGATGTTATGGGCACAGCACTCCTGCTCTGTATAGAGGACTTGCTTTGAAGGGTCTGGGGGCATCTCCGCCTTATTGCAGTCCCTGGGTGCTTTGCACAGTTGAGTTAGGAGAGGAGCATTCTTCCCAGAAGTGAATGGAGATCCAGAATAAAAAGACAGATCGTGGGTGAGTGATGGAGCTGAAAGCTGTCATACATGTATGTGATGTTGTTCTCTGAGTGATTTCCACATAGGAGGGTGGCAGGGAGGACCGTTCCTTTCATGACATATAGGCATGTCATCAGTCACAGGGCAGCACAAGTCTGGAGAGTGTCTGTGCTCCAGAGGAGGGTGAAAAGGACAGGCTTTACAGCTCCCCCTTCCAGAGCCTGGGAAGAGATCCACAGCACAAAGATGATGTCTTAGCACAGGGCTGAGTGACACACTTTAGGGGGGAATAATTACAAGTTCCTATTTAGTTCAACAAAGGAGGCCTTGTGGGTCCAGCTATCTGCAGAGACCACGGGGGGGTCATCAATAAAGTAAATGATGAGCATCATGTCTCTATGAACGTCTACAGACATGTAGCTCTGCCTATAGCAGCTCTCACTAGGCACACACTCCGTTTTCTTTCTTCTTTCCTGCGCTTTAGATGGTCCCTTGCATTGAAAGCTGTGCCGATTCACCCGGAATGGCGATGTGTCTCTTTAAGAGGTCCATTTGTAGATCTGTTCTGATTAAACTGGGGTTCAGTTTGTTAAAGAGCCGCTTGGCGCCAGTCTGCTGACGTCTTACAATAAGAACCGTCTCTTGTCACTTCATATTTACCCAAAAAATCTTCAAACAGCGCCCTCCAAATGCCGGACTGCGGAGCACAGGGAAAACAGGGATGGCAGGCGATTGATTTTTTTTTTTTCCAGTGATCATCACAGCCCCCTACCCTGTCTGATCTGCTCCTGAGCTCATTACATGACCCCACAGGACAATGCTAAACCTCTGATTAATGGTGTCACTGCGACTACACATACATGTCTATAGGGGCCTCTTTACACACTGGACCAGAGTGTACATACACGTTTTATAGCGGGTTTCTATACACTGGGCCAAACTATATATGCACTTCTATACACTGGGCTGGATACATATACACTTCTGGATATATATACACTTCTATAAGGGACTTCGATACACTGGGCCAGACTATACATGCACTTTTATAGGGGGCTTCTATACACTGGTCTGGACTGTATATACACTTCTATAGGGGACTTCTATACACTGGGCCAGACTATGTATACACTTCGCTAGGGGACTTCTATACACTGGGCTGGACTGTATATATACACTTCTATAGGGGACTTCTATACACTGGGCCAAACTATACATACACTTCTATAGGGGGCTTCTATACACTGGGTCAGACTATATATACACTTCTATAGGGGGTCTTCTATACACTGTGCCAGACTATATCTACACTTCTATAGGGGGCTTCTATACACTGCCAGACTATATCTACACTTCTATAGGGGACTTCTATACACTGGGGCCAAACTATACATACACTTCTATAGGGGGACTTCTATACACTGGGTCAGACTATATATACACTTCTATAGGGGGCTTCTATACACTGCCAGACTATATCTACACTTCTATAGGGGACTTCTATACACTGGGCCAAACTATACATACACTTCTATAGGGGACTTCTATACACTGGGGACTATGTATACACTTCTATAGGGGGCTTCTATACACTGTGCCAGACTATATCTACACTTCTATAGGGGGCTTCTATATACTAGGCCAGACTATACATATACTTTTATAGGGGGCTTCTATACACTGGGCCAGACTATATCTACACTTCTATAGGGGGCTTCTATACACTGGGCTAGACTGTACATACACTTCTACAGGGGCTTCTATACACTGGGCCAGACTATATCTGCACTTTCTATAGGTGGCTTCTATACACTGGACCAGGCTATACATACAGGTCTATAGGGAGCTTCTATACACCGGGCTAGGCTATACATACACATCTATAGGGGGCTTCTATACACTGGGCTAGGCTATACATACACACCTATAGGGGGCTTCTATATCTGGGCCAGACTATATATACACTTCTATATGGGGGCTTCTATACACTGAGCCAGACCATATATACACTTCTATAGGGGGCTTCTATACACTGGGCCGGACTATACATACACTTTCTATAGGGGGCTTCTATACACTGGGCCAGACTATACACACACTTGTATAGGGGGCTTTTATATGCTGGGCCGGACTATACATACAGTTCTATGGGGGCTTCTATACACACCCTATACCCACCAGAACACATCTTGCGATCATTGGTCTCTAGGGCACCACTGCTCTGTGCTAATTATTAATACATAGCAAGTATTTTCTTTATTGTGAATTGCAACGAAAACAAACAAAATAATGAAATAATGTGTTGTAGTACCTGTCAATTAGTATATTAAATACATAAATACATCCAATAAGGATACGATGTACTGGGGGGGGAGGGGGGGGGGGGGGGAGAGAGAGAGAGAGAGAGGGGGGGGGAAACTTTATCGGGATTTTTTAGGATGGATTGGATTGATAGACAGAGAGAGAGAGAGAGAGAGAGAGAGAGAGAGAGAGAGAGAGAGAGAGAGAGAAGAATGAAGAGAGAAAAAATAGAGAAAGAAAGAAAGAAAGAAAGAAAGAAAAAGAAAGAAAGAAAGAAAGAAAGAGAAAGAAAGAAAGAAAGAAAGAGATCATAGACGGATAGGCAGACTAGGATAGAGAAAGAGAGAGGGAGAGAGAGGATAGTATTGTAGCACCTGTGAATTTTTGTATGTTAGTAAATAGTAAATTATTAGTAAATAAATGAACTATATATGTTATTCATTATTACTTACCGTGAAAAACAAACTAGTGTCACGTGTCTGAATGCTAGCATGTGTATGTGTGTGTTATATATATCTATATAAACTCATATATCACACATACTTTCTGTCTCTTTCTCTATACATAAAATATATATATGCATCTGCCAATTGCTGTCCTTGTTATTCCAGGTCCCAGCAGAAGGAATCGTCAGGAGGGGTTTGTGCCATCTTTTGCCTAGCTGGA